GTCGATTGACTCAACAAAGCAACACTCTATAGTCGAGATACCATTTTGTAACTTTTAATAGTTGAGGTACTTGATAAAATAGTATTCTATAATCGGGAATCATTTGTGTACTTTACCCTTTATTTTATTAATTTGAGATCATTATAAAATAATATATATTAAAAATATCATTGATAATGTATATATATCCCGTTAGTTACTCGAATTCGAGATGTCTAAAAAAAATAACATTCTCTTTTATTATTACGATTGTTTGATATATTTATAATTTACATTTTAAATCACTATAATTAACATTATTTTATGCGAATGTGTCCATAAAAGATAACGATTTTTGGCCCATGCGGTGGTGGCCGGTAGCCGGAAAGGCCATGGACGGTTGTTTCCTTTAAACCCACGAAACCCCATGTGACAATTCCACCAAAATGGACACCAAACAGGACAGCAACTGCGTAAATTTGTTCAACTATATATTTCAAAGGACCGGCCTTTCCAAGGAATAAGTGAATGCTTTAGGTGAGTAACCCTAAAATTTTACAATTAATATATATATATATATATATATATATATATATACCTAATAAAATTCACTTAGATTGTATAAAAATTAGAATAATATTAAAATATATCATTATAATTTTAAAAAATTATATATATTCATTCAATAACTATATTTTCTTGTAAAATTAATGATTTTTAAATAAGTAAATAACACTCCTATATGCATAACAATCTTAACACATAGGAACATAGGTGATAGGCCCTTTAAAAAATTTAAATTTTTATATAAATTTAATATACTTTTTTTATTAATTATCTAATTTTGTAATTTTCAAAATTCGTAATTCCGCTCTTCTTATCGGATTTTATTGTTTAAGTTTCGTTAACGGTATAAAAGGTTGGGTTCAATACGGATTGGCCTGAAATAGAGCAAAATGGAGACTTGAAAAGAAAGGCTTTTGTATTTCTATATAGGGTAAAGTACACAAATGGTCCCTCAACTATTAAAATTTATAAAATGATCCCTCAGCTTTAGAGATTTACTTTGTTGAGTGTATCGACTATTAAAAGTTAACTCCGCTTAACTACGATGTAACTGTTGGGGGGCCATATTGTAAACGGACTAAATGTTAGGGGATTGTATTGCAAGTTTTAAAAGTTGGAGGACCTAAATGAAAGTTTTAGAAAAGTTCAGTGATCAATACTATATTTTACCCTAATAGTTAATATAATGATATAAGCGAAGCCAACGAACTTCCTCTTCCCTCTCTTGGATCCGAATATAATGATGTATTCTAAGCAAAAATAGCTCAAACCTCAAACCCTCGCACTGCCACAGAACCCCTACAGCGTGACCAAAACTTTTAGGATCTTCCACTTGATCATCAATGGAGTCCTTCACTGCCACGAACAACGACGGAGAAGAAGACATTAATTCCTCGTCTCGCTCTTTCGAAGACGATATCTCAAACAAGGGAGCCCACGGTTCCTCCTCTTTCTCTCATCCACAAGTTTTCCCTTACGATGATCTCACCGCCGATACTGCTACTTACATCGCTCACAACCACATGTAGTAGGAGTCACAGTCAAAACCTTGGGTATATTGTCACTAACAATAACAACACTGATAATAATATCGACACCGGGCGTTTATGGGTTCGGGTTTTCGGTGCCCAACGCTGAGTTCATGACCTCTTTTGGAGGGTCTGCGATAGATGGTAGTGGTCGTGGTCATGATGTAGATGATGATGGTTTTTCGCCTCTGAAGGACCAGTGTTGCCTCCGCCTGATCATATGCAAAAGGAAAACTTCACGCGACGCGAATAGCGCCAGTTTGTTTCGTTTTCCCTTCTTTTCGTAATATCTCATTTCATTAATTGTTTTTAAATTCCTTCCGATGCAGCTTAAACGCCATTCATCTTGAGGAGAAGGGGAAAAGAGAGACGGGGATGCGGGATCAGATAATCGCCGAAGTAGATGAGTACAAGCAATCGTTTTACGAGAAAAGGAATCAGAAATTGATAAGGCTAACAATAGAGAAAGAGAGAAGGTAGAAGAAACAATCATTTGTGGTTATCCGAATTATCTTCACTTGTTTACAAGGCTGAAGATCTGAACCGATCTTTCGTGTTGTTGATATGCATCTATACTTAGCTAATCAAGGCAAGTTCAGATCATTCCTCGAGAGCTGGCGAATATCGAGAATAAGAGAGGAAAGAAAGACTCCGATAAAACTCCTTCGGTGTCGGTAATTCATGGTCCAAAATCGGGGAAACCAACTGATCTTTCGAGAATGAGGTAGATTTTCGTTAAGCTTAAACAGAATCCTCCACCTCATATGATCCCTCCACCCAAAGATGGCAAATAACGGAAAGGAAAATAAAGATGAAAAGGAAAGAAAAGACGCCAAGAATGGGAAAGGTTCAAAAGCAGTAGATTCTGCTGGAGAAAATAAACCCGCTTCACTAGGGAAGGATACTGCTGCTACTGCTAATGGTGGCACTGGACAACCAAAACCGGAGACTTCAGCTTCGGCTGAGGCTGATAACAAAGTGAAACCCAATCCTGATGCTTCCAAGTGATGCCAAACCTTAATTTCCCCATTTTTTTGTTTTTATTTTTGAGTTTCGGTTAGCTATTCCCAGTGGATAATAAGAGCTAACAGAGAGACCTTGGATGGGATTTTGAGTATGCAACATCATCTGTACAAATTCTTTCTTGCCTTGATTTTGAAATTGGAGGGAAGCTTGTTGCTAGTGCATGCTTCACTTGTTATGACATTATTAACAAGCGCTTTTTCTTTGTTCAGTATTACATTCATTGAGGTAATTTTTTTGGATAATTAATTTTTGGGTAAAGTAGTAATGGTCAATGAACTTTTCTAAAGCTTTCATTTAGGTCTCTTAACTTTTAAAACTTGCAATACAGTCCCCTAACATTTAATCTGTTTGTAATATGGTCCACAACAGTTACATCGGGGACCATATTGCAAACAAACTAAATGTTGAGGGACCATATTACAAATAGACTAAATGTTGAGGGATTGTATTACAAGTTTTAAAAGTTGGGGAAGCTAAATGAAAGTTTTAGAAAAATTTAGTGACCATTATTATACTTTACCCTTTTATTTTCTTTTTACTGTTGATAATAAATATGGGTTCTGAGCACGTGTTGAAATTGGGGATGTCCAAATATCTTCCACCCTCTACGTTCAAAATTGAAATGTCCAAATATCAGAGCGGCACGGGTTCACTTTTATGATGTGTTTGGGTCACGGAATGTAAGATTATTAGTGGGAATAAAAGATTACCAGGGAATAGGATTACTGAGAATGTTGTATTTTGTGTTTGGTTGGTTTAGCAGGAATGTAAGATTTGTTTGGTTAAAGGAATAAAAGATTATTGAAATGTATATTTGACCAAATTGTCCTTATTATATATTTGTATAATATTACAAATTGTAAAATATTTTCTTAAAAAATTATATAAAAAATTAAATTCATAATATTCATATAATTTTTTTTACAAAATTAAAAATATAAAAAAGGTTGAATGAAAGGGTAAATTTTTTTTAACCCCTGTACTTCATATAAAATTTTAATTATAGATTTTTTTTGTAAATCTAAAATAATTTAAGGATAAATTTGTAATTTAACCTTCGTAGATTTTTTATTATTCAATGACAGAAGAATGATATTTTTGAAAAAAAATAAAAATTTAAGGTCATTTTAGTCCAAAACGCCGATAATGTTATAATACTTAAGGGAAGTGAGGTAATGACATTCTCGGTAATATACTAAAAAAATATACTATTGGTAATAAAACATTACCGGGAATAAGATTCCCGGCCAACCAAACATGGGAATGTGGAATTCTCATCCCATGAGAATCCCACAATCCTTGAACCAAACACCCCCTTAAGGAATGCCTTTGAATAAAACAAGGTTTTATTCTTTTGGTTATTCCAAATCCCACTGGTTTCATTTTCTAGGCCTATTATATTCGGGAAGTTCTACCGTGTGACAGTGTTAATATACAGACGTTATCGGTTTTGTTATTATTTTTTTAATATTTTCGATAAAAAATTACCTAAAACATTATTATTTCTACCTCTAACATTAATGTTTTTTTTAACATTTCCAGTAAAGTGTCCAATAATAACAAAACCTGTAAAAAAATAATGTTTTAGGTACCCTTTACCAGATATGTTAACAAAATCGGTAAATCGCCTAATAATAACAAAACCGGTAGAAATAATAATATTTTAGGTAACGTTTTACCAGAAATATTAAAAAAAAAATAACAAAACCTATAGCGCATTTCCTTAACCGTATATTAAGGGTGTCACACGTGAGTATAAATATTAACCTTTTTTTCCCATTGAAAATAGTTAGTTTTATTAAAAATAAAAAAAAAATTATAATTATAATAAAGAATTATAAGTATAATCGTAAATTAAAGTATAAAATTATTATTATTAAAAAACAAAAAAAGAAACAAAGAGAAGAGTAAAGATAAACGGCGAACAATAACTAACATCAAAATCAGTGTTACCGACGATTAAAGAAATCTAAAAAAAATTGATTTAATCTATAAAAATTAAAATAAATCGTAAATTAAAAGAAAAAAAAAGTGAAGAGGAAGAAAAAGAACGGCCCGATTGACTGTTAACTTAACTGATATTATTATAACTTTAATATATAAAAATATAAAACAACTAAAATATTTACATTTAATATGAACTTTTTTTTTTTAACCTATCAACTTGAAAACGATTGTTTTTGATAACTAACATTACAAATATTATTACATTAAGTGTTCAAGACTGGACATGAATACATCCCGAAAAGAAAAGTTTCATCATCTCACTATATATCTGGAGAAAAATCATCGACTTTAGAAGCTAAAATTCACCAAAATCATGATTACTCCAGAAAACAATGGCGAAATCAAGATCTTTCCTTTTTAAAGGAAGTCTGATTCGGAATAAATGTGCTGTAGCTTTCAGCTTTAAAAGTTCCAAAGAAACGAAGACTGTGAAAAAGCGTCGCCACCGTTTCCATCATCATTGACGCCGTCGTCGTCGTCGACAGGCGGAGGAAGAGGAAGATAGAAGTGATCACCACCGGGTTGCGAATAAAAGCCGTAATCGGACATCCCTTGATAATCGGTATTATCCAACGTGCTCAAAAACGACCAATCCATCGTTTCTTCATCATGATGATGACCGTCACTCACCCCCACTTGCGTTGTCGCGGCCCCATACGACACCGATGTTGACGACGTATACTGTTGTTCTGTCCCTACATTGTTATTATTATTGAGTTCCGTCTCTTCGGCGAACCTAGCGGCCGCCAACTGAATCTCCGGCGGGCTGAGCGACTGCCCGTTTGCGATCTCGGGCGGATTATCCGGGAAATTGAACTTAGCATCGCGGCCACGTAAACAATAAAGAGCCGCGTCGAACGCCCTCGCCGCTTTCTCCGCCGAGTCGTAAGATCCCAACCAGATACGCTCGCGGCTATTGGGAAGTCGAATCTCCGACACCCATCTCCCCCATTTTCTTTTCCGAACACCCTTATACTTCGAACTGTTACTACTACTACTACTACTCCCATTACCGCTGTTTACGTCAACAAAATCCGTCGGCGATGCTGCTGAAGATGATTGAGAGTAGCTTGTTGGCTTCACCATCAATGGAAAAGCTTGAAAACTCGTTTGCGAAATGGTTCCTCTGATTGTTTGCTGAAAAGGGTTGTTCTTGAAAGCTTTCGAGCTGATCTTTGGAGAATGTAAATGGCGGCTATTTGGGAGTGTATATATAGTTGTGGGGGAGGGTTGAAGAGTGAAGACCGAAGGACTAGTCTGTGAGTATCGTTTTGTTGAAGATCGAAGCGTGTTGAAGAGGAGTGGACGGAGCGGATTCGTGTCAGTTTCTGGAAAACGCGGTGGGGGGAAACTGGAGAAGATGACCACATGCATGAAATCTTCCCTTTTTAAGTGATCTAATTCTGCTTCCAGTCCCTTTACTCTTACGAACTTTTAAAAACTACTTTCTCAACTTTTAATCATTGGAAGTTAATTCCTTTGAATTAGGGTGTTCAAACTTTGGTTAAAACCGATTTAACCGACCGACCAAGCCGAAGTTTTTTTAGTTCATTAGTCGGTTAATTTCAAGTTCAACCGGTTAACGGTTAATAATTTTTTTTCAAACTTTGGTCATTGATTAATCCAGTTTGAAATCAGTTGGTTAATCGAATTAAACAAATTAACCAAAATTATTAAATGTTTATTATATTATATATATTATTTATATATTAATTAGCCTTGAGAGTGTTTAAATTTCAGTTTTAATCGAATTAACACAAAATATAAAATATATTAATATATAATTTATAATTTATAAATTTCGGTTAATTTGGTTAATCGAACAATTAACCAAATTTTTTCGGTTTGATTTTTCAAAGATATTTTGATTCGGTTAATAGTTAAAGAGGAAAAAAATCAGTTAATAAATTTTTGAAAGTTTAATAGGTTATCTGAACCGACCGATTGAACACCCCTACTTTGAATATTAAATACCATTCGAAATTATTAGACTTTAACTTTTCAAATCCGATAATTAGAGAGCTAAATTCTTGCAAGCAAAAATCAAAGGGACTGGATTTTAAAAGTTCACTGAGTAAAAGGATTGGAAACAAATTAAACCTTTTCTTAATTTAATGTTAATAAGCCTAATTTCAAAGTTCCAGAGAGAAAAGCAAGTAAGCAGCAGTCAAATATGACACTATTGGGAAAGTTCATGGTAATATCTGAATGTCAGACAAACCTAGAGTTCCAACATTATTAAAAATCGCATTAATTAACGAACTCGATAATAAAAGAATTATTATAATTTTTGAAAGTCTCGTATTTGAGCACTAAAATTATTAAGAGTGTGAGCACTTAATGTAAAATAATTAAGAATTATCTTTAAACATATATTATCTTATCATATATTAATATAAAAACATTATTAAAAACCAGATATGTCTTGATCTGTAATTATCATAAAATAATCTAATTTATTATTGGGAAAAAACATTCTCCAGCTTCATTGTTGATTTGATATATATACCCATTTGATTTGACCTAATGGACCCAAACTTAGGGTCATCTAGCTTTAAATAACTAGGGTGGTCTAAAAAGGTTAGCAGACAAAACATGCAATTATGTTTGAAAAGTAGAGCTTTGTTGATGGTTGGTGTTAATTACATTCATTTTTTTATTTAGACAAAGAATTATAAATTAAGACGATTATTAAATTCAGATTGGCAGTCCAATTTATGCTTAATGATTAGATGTGAGGTGAAAGAGAGGGAATAGGAGAGAAATATTAGGCGATTATACTAAAAAATCACGTTGATTAATTTTATTTACCCGTCAGACACTCTTTCATATTTATTTATTGATCAAATACCTTTTGTAGGAATGCTCGACTCATACACCACGCCTTACGCTACGTGGTAGAAGTCGCGGCCCATACACTGCACCTTGTGAAACGTATAAAAAATCGGGCGCTAGTTTTATAAATCTTTTTAAAATGGTCCCTAATACGAAGTTAATTTATATTTAAGGTTATATTTGTGTAAAAATGTCAACTTTATTTTTTTTGTGTTATTATTTTTTAATAATATTTAATAATTTTTATTGACTTTTAAAATTAATTGTTTAAAAATATAAAAATAAACTTTTAATTACAATTGAGAGATCAAATGAATTATTATTCACTTTTTTTAAAATCAATAAAGATGCAATAAAAAAGAATTAAAAGTGAATAAAATTCAATAAAAAAAGATGTAAAGCTAAAATATATCACCTCTTTATTGAGGGATCATTTTTATAATATTAATTTAAAAAAATATAAAATAAGTATTAAACTCTAATTTTATTAAAAATAAGTAAACATTATTAACTGTTATTAAAAAAATAATTAATAAATAATAATTCATTTGATCCCTCGAATGTAATTAAAAGTTTATTTTAATATTTTTATATTTTTAAACAATTAATTTTAAAAGTCAATAAAATTTTCAAAAATATATAAAATTTATAATTTTTTAAATTATAAAATATTTATTATCATCATCTTCAGCATTTTGCAAAAGAAATACTGGTTATAAAACTTTTATAAAATTATTCATATTTTAAAAAACTTATCCTCAAAGTTTTCCTATACTAGATTATATGTATTGTGTAATTTCATGCAAAAATCAAAATAATTTTATTAAAATTGAATAAACATTATTAATTGTTGTTAAAAATAATAATTAACGAATAATAATTCATTTGATCGCTCAATTTTAATTAAAATTTTATTTTAATATTTTTTATATTTAAACAATTAATTTTAAAAGTCAATAAAATTTTCAAATATATATGAAATTTATACTTTTTTAAATTATAAAATATTTATTATTATCATCATCATTTTGTAAAAGAAATATTGATTATAAAACTTTTATAAAATTACTCATATTTTAAAATACTTATCCTCAAAGTTTTTCTATACTAGATTATACGTATTGTGTAATTTTATACAAAAATCAAAATAATTTTATTAAAAAAGAATAAACATTATTAAATGTTGTTAAAAATAATAATTAATGAATAATAATTCATTTGATCCCTCAATTGTAATTAAAAGTTTATTTTAATATTTTTTATATTTTTAAACAATTAATTTTAATAGTAAATAAATTTTTCAAAAATATATGAAATTTATAATTTTTAAAATTATAAAATATTTATCATCGTCATCATCATCATTTTGTAAAATAAATATTAGTTATAAAACTTTTATAAAATTATTCATATTTTAAAATACCTACCCTCAAAGTTTTCCTATACTAGATTATATGTATTGTGTAATTTCATGCAAAAATCAAAATTTATCAAGTTATAAAATAATTTGCAAAAGAATATTTAAAGATTTTAATGTATAAATTTTTTTTTTCACACACAAAAAATAAATAAGTAAAGTTGACGTTTGTATACAAATATCACCCTAATATAAACTAATTACATATTAGGCATTATTTTAAAAATATTTACAAAATTAACCCCCAATTTTTACACATTTCTCAATGTGCGGTTCATGAGCCGCGCCCACGTGACGCCACATCAGCGTAAGGCGCGGGTCTTCCTGCAAAGGGTGTTATATCGGTGAATAAAGATGAAAAGGTGTCTGACAGGTAAATAAAGTTGGTCAGGGTGATTTTTGGGTATAATCGCCGAAATATTATATCCCAATTTCTTTCTCTTGGCTAAATTATGAAATTCATTTTTTTAACGTAAATGATCTAAAAAAGCCAATGCATTAAGTTTAGTGAAAAAATTGAAAATATTTAAAATACAATGAACGAAATATGAGAGAGAATAAAATTTAGTTGTCAAAATCTGTAATTTACCCTTTTTCCTTTGATACCCTCGAGAAAGGTGGAAATATCTTTATATATTTAACGTCATTATGAAATCTATTTTATTAATTTTCTGAGTTGAATCGAATTATATATATCGAATCAACGAGAAAATAAAGAATAATTACAGTCCCAAAGTTGAAGAGTATATTATATTTCATATGATCTTTATATTTAACAATTCTTTAGATAAACAAACTTAATTTTATAAGATAAAATATTTGTTCAAGTATGCACTAATTTAGCCGAGCCGTATAGTAGACCAATATGAAAAGGAATATATATATTCAATTTGTAGGAATGAATCTATAAGGGGACAAGATTAGAGGTGGGTATACGGGCTACCCGCCCGTTTAGTCCGTGGGTTTTGACGGTGCGGGTTTAAACGGAACGGTTTAAAAAGTCCGCATTCATAAACGGTTTTGAATTTTAAGGCCCACGGTCCGTCTATTTAACCCGCGGGCTAAACGGGCTTACCCGCGGCCCGTTTAATAAAAATAATTTTAAATACTTAAATGCAATAAAAATAATGTTTTAACGTACTACACCTTTAAAAATGATCGAGCAACTTGAAAAGGAAGGTAACACCGTCAAAATAATAAATAATATTTAAATTTTATTTTAAATAAACGAAAATGATTATAAAATAATATTTTTTTAATCATTAATATATATATATATAATGATATAATTACTTAAACTCAAATTAAAAAAAATAATATTCACTTATATCACTAAATTAAAAAACAAATAAAACAATAATCACATTATACTTTTATAAAATACGATTATTTAAGGCTATAATAAGATTAAAATATTATATAAATTTTTTTATTTTTATTTTTTAAAATGAAGAATAATTTGATACATTAATGATGTATATTTAAATGAAAAAAATATCAAACAACGGTAAAATTATGACAAACGTCCTAATAAATTTAAGAACTACAATAGTTATAAGTAACATCATATTTATAGGTAATTTATTTTCTTTTTCTATAAAATTCTTTAAGTTTATTTTCTCTAAAACTTTATAAATTTTAAATTAAGCGGGCTTTTGCGGGTTTCGCAAGTAACCCGCGATTATACCCATTAAACCCGCGGGTTTAACGGTCCGGGCTAAAAAACTTACAATTTAAACGATCTTAAATTTTTGAAGCCCGAAGCCCACACGGGTCGCGGGTTAAACGGGTAGTCCGCGGGCTTTAGCCCATATACCCAGCTCTAGACAAAGATAAAGGAATATCCAAGAGTGGTCCGTGGATGAA